GAAAAAAGGTTTGGTTATGCTCATCAAAATACATACACACTTGCGTTTTCTCGCATGAGTAATTGTCGGTAATTGCAAGAATCACGCACATTGTGTAAGTATACCTCGAGAATCGAATCTAAGTTGGGGGCTCAATTAGAATGCTACCTGGTATACACGTGTTCCTAAGGTCAGAATTATAACACCATTTGTCGCAGAAAAGGAGAAAACATACAACATAAGTTGGAAAAGTGGCTAGCAAAAAGCGAGAATTCAAGTGTGAGCAATATTCGCCTGATAGAGAGCTTGCATGTGGCGTGGCTGCACCAAAAAAACGTCCTCAAAAATGCACAGCATAGATTTCTAAGCCATCAAAAATCTTAGCCAAACAAGTGCAACAAGTTTGCAATCTACAAACAGTTGCCTTCTGCCTTCACGTAATTGGCGGCGGAGAGGTGGGACTTCACTCATACTGTCAGTTTCGCACTATAACGTCTGCAACACTATTCATCGAGCATTCCCCTGAGACACGATGCTATATAGTACACTTGAACAGCGGCAATATAGACGAAGGAAAGGCCACGTTCCCACCCTGTTAACTTAAATATAATTGAAACGGGCGAATTACCTAAATAAAATTAATGGCTTTATATATGATTAAACTTTCTAATTTGTAAAATTGAAACTGTTTTTGCATTTGTTTTTCGATCTCGATATATTTTATGTGTTTTATTCAAAATTTATTAAGGGGGTGGGACTAGTCATGGAAATGAGATCGGTATCTGTGTGTTAGAAAGTATTACGCTAAGTAAGTAGCAGAACTCTTGAATTTGGATTTGCATGTTTTTTAAATTCAATTTATTTTTATTAGACACTGTTGATTCTGCGGCGTTGGTTTTCCGTTAGGCAATTACTGGATTATGATTGTATATTTGTCGTCAACTTTTTTTTTTATTGTGTTCTTAGAATTTCTCATTTGATGCATTTGGGGCGTGAATATTAATGTTACGTCGTAATGCATATTATTCCTTTTTCGCTGGAATTTTTCTTTTTCTTCCTTTCCTTTTTAGGATAGCGTTTATTACTTTACTTGAATGGTTTTCTATTTAATGAGATCCGCTATTATATTATTTTTTTTGTTTGTCATATTTCTGGAACGGAAATCTTATCTTCGATGAAATTGAAATTTTGTATGTCTAAAGATTTTCATATATTGCACGTTGCTTACATAGTACATGTTTTCTAGATTTCTTGCAGAAATTCTATTTATAATATATAAATCCTGTTCTCTGATATTGTTGGCTTATTCAATAAGTTAAATTTTGAGAATTGATTGTCTTTTTTTTGGTTCGCAAAAATGATTTTGACTATGAAGAGTCGACGGATTTTTTTTTTGTATCGTATTGGAGTTTTTGGCATCTTGTTTGTATTCTCACGCTTCATGTGCTTCAGCAGAGATCCAAGTCTCCGTAAGTGGACCTTAACAGATTCTTTGTGTCGAAAAAGGAAATATCAGGTAGTAATCCATCTCCGATTTGATAAAGAAAAAATGTTTTCATAAAAAATTTCCTGATGGGCTCTCCTAAATAATGATTGAGCGGAAATAATCTACAAGAGTTTTCACTTCACATCCTTCTTTTCTCATTTTACAACAAAGAACAAACAAACAGCACACATCATTAATAGCCCCTACAACACAACCGAAAACTACGTCTAGTAGGTCCTCCCTGAAGCGCGCCTTCATCCAGGCTTTGTTGATTATAGGAGCAGATGCAGCAGAACTTTGTTTCACTTGTACTTGCATGAGCAATCATTTTTGCCTACACGGAGAGCCCGCATAGGTGAAGGAATCCTTCTCGGACAAGTCGCGATTCTATCTCTCCATAAATTCCTTTGAGCAAGAAAAGACAAAAAAAATTGGCAAAAAAATAATCGACAAAACGGACAAGGTTGCTACGCGTTTCGAAGTTCTCCCACGACCATCCTTACAAGCAGCGGTCAACTCCTCATCGTTGCTAACTCTTCGGAAATTTTTACGACCGCCACCCCGTGTGGTGATTGTTGATGGTGTTCTTCATGGTTGATTTGCATACGACCCCCCCCCCCTTGTACGATTACACTTGTGTAAAGACAGAATTTGACCGTTGTGATTTCAAATTTGCTGGTTGGCGCCCTTTTGCCTTGCTGACGGTGGAGCGCATCTGCTCAAGGTGAGGAGCCGTCGAACGGGAATGTGAAAAGTTTAGGAGTTTTTTTTGTTTAATTTCAGGTAGTCCGGAAGATATCGGCGGATGTTGGATCAGCGTGGTTCATCCTTCTCAAGGAGTGCCCATTTTTTCTCAAACCCTTCACAATGAAAAAGTTATAAGCCAAAAAATTAGATTGCAAGAGAATTTTTACACTCCTCTTTCTAGGGCTATAACTTCCTTCATGTTCGAGCTTCAGCGCCATAAGTGATTTGATTTGGAAAATTCAAATTATTCTCTAGCCAATCATGGGTATAAATTCTTCGAAAGTTAATTTATTAAAAATTTTGGACGTTGTGACTTTCTCTGGTGCAAACCGACTTTTTTGCTTTCAAACGATCATAACTTCCTTCAAAGTCATTCATTTAGGAAGCTGAACGCGATATAACACACTCCAGGATTCAAGCTTTCTAACGAGTACCCAAACGTTCCTGCAAAATCAGTAGTTCAAAATTTAGTCCCGTTGTACCATTATAAAGGGCTGGTGTAACCATTTCTTTGAAAACGCGACTTTTTTACCTTCAAACGATCATAACTTCCTTAAAAGTCATTCATTTAGGAAGCTGAACGCGATATAACACACTCCAGGATTCAAGCTTTCTAACGAGTACCCAAGCGTTCCTGAAAAATCAGTAGTTCAAAATTTAGTCCCGTTGTAACCCTCAAATTTGAGGGGTATTTTTTGAGCCACTTTCTCGAAAGCGCGAGTTTTCTTAAGTTCCACTGCCCGTAACATCTCGCAAGACCAATTTCATGTTTAATTTAGGATGTGCTAGAAAGCTCCGAGCATGCGCTTGCACTACATCCCTTGCCTTGGTGCGCGCCACGCCTCGGGCGCCCTTCTAATTCGCTGATTCATTTGAAAGCTCATTCAGAGGGAAGCGTGGTTTACAGATGCTCTAGTATCAGTAATCTTGCGCAAACGTATCGTGCCGGCTATCATGCTGGTCTCTAAAGGCATTAGTTTCATATGTGGTCTCGTGGCTGAAATAAACCTGAAATAAATGCATTTAGTAACTATCACAAACACTTTCTTTGCTGCGTTTGCTCTTCTCCTTCGTACCACTATCCATACTCAGTAGGACATCACCAAGAATTTTCAGTGCCGGCCACCAAAAAATTACGACCCCCCCCTCCAAGCTCAATTCAGTACGACCCCCCCGTTGTGACTCGTCACAACGTAGGGTTGACCCTGCTCCGAAGTGCTTGGCGACGGGAATGCTTCCACATGGTTCTTGAGTGCCTCACTAGAAACTCTTTCTGGCCTTTTGACTTATTGCATTCACATCTCACACTTCTACTCCATCCTATTCTATCGATCGATTTGTCTCTACTCTCCAAAATCGCACGCTTTAACCCGATTCTTTTCATTGCGTCGCCTGATACGCGTAGCCGGCTAAACGCTGAGGTTGGACAATGTCCGACGAAGGGGTGGGAGAGTGTATTTCGGGGGTGGAAAAGAGGGTCGTATTCCTCGAGGTAGCGAGGTAGTGTCAATGTTACAGGTTAAAGGGGAGGGATGATTTTCATGGAACATGAGAGCGCCCCCCCTTCTCCCCTGTTTCGACGGCAATTTGGAGGAAAAAGTGGGCGGAGGTTGGGCTGTGTCGACTGGTCTCAGAATCAAATACTATGGAGATGGCAGGCGATGAGCTGTTGGAGGATGGTGGTGAAAGGGTAACCCTTAGGGGGGGTCGTATCGAGGTCTCTAGAAGGGGGGAGAGGGGGACCAAGGCGGACTGCTTTCCATGCCCACCTTTTGGCTCCGCCCCATTTACCTTCGATTGTCCATAGAGTGTGGTTTTTGTAAGTTTGTTTCTCTTCGGAAACTGAATCTTTGTGCGTGAAACTTTGTATGTTGTCTCTAGTGATCACAACTGACATATGTGTTGGGAAAGAATGCAAGATTTTTCCGGAAAGGATTCCTTCAAGCAAATATACAAGATTTGTGCACCAAAGTGCACAACAGATTGCTCGTTTTCAGATCATAATCCTTGAAAATAAAATAACAGTGTCCATTAGCCTGAAAAACGGCGCGTAACTTCAGCTCAACCTAACATATGTACTGCCAGAGGCTCACAGAAGGTAACGTAATTGTACTGGTGCTGCTCTAGATGGGTGAGGGAGAGTGCTTTTTTCTTCTTCTAATGAAAACATTACATTCGTTTTTGTGCTAGCGCGCAAAATAAACGCTCAATTTCTATACTGTATGTGTCATCTCACTGACAGCGCCTATCATCGTATAACTTCGCCTAGGATGAGAGGAGGCGTGAGATAAGAAACTCACGCTCACTTTGTGATCGTACACTTTCCAATTATTGCCACTTAGTGCATATTTTATCCACCCTACAACACCCCCCCGCCCCGCCGCGATCAACAAATCAATGCCACAGAGCATCGAATTTTTGGATCCTAACAAGGCAAAGACCCAAGAAATTAAAATTTTTCGAGCAAGCTCTCGAAATGGGTGTCGCCAACTGTAAGCTCTCTCACACTACAATTAGCTATAGTTTTCCTACAACGGCAATCTTCCATTCAAAAAAAACTTTTTAGTCTGAAAAGAAGGAAAGAAAACAAGCAGCTATTACCGATAACAAAAGAGAATTTGTAAGGAAATTCTTGGAAAATTTCAGATGAAGTTATTGAAAGGCGTGGTCAAGAGTTCGTGGAGAAAAGCGAAGGAATACGAAAAAATCGCTTGTCAGATTGGCTTCCGAAGAATTCCATCAAGAAGCAGAGAATGAAGAAAAACAACGCCGAAATTCGATAACTCACCGGTGGCTGAGGAGCAGCTTGTGTTGTGGGCGTTTCGGCATTCTCCACTATCACCGACGAATTTTCGTTAGGGTTCTGGGCCAACACACTAGAATAGCCGTAGTACATCCATGTGAGTATGAATATTTGTATATTCATCTGAAATTGGATTTAATATGAATAGAAACTGGATTTGTGCTGCTTCATCAACTATCAATTCCGAGTCGCGAAAAAATCAATAAAAAACAAACAAAGGAAAGGATAAAGGATAAAGCATTTGCCGTTGATCAATCCCTTTTTGGGATGCGGCACGCATTCTACTTCCATTTGTACATTCGTAGTGGCGTTTGAATGCGATGTGGCCTATACAATGACTTGCGGGGGCCAGCCGATGTACAAGTCAGTGTTTTTATCCTCCCAGACAAGTCTGGTACCAATTAACCGACCCCGGAGGGATGGAAGGCTTGGTTGGCCCAGGATTCGATCTTGGACCGCGCGCATGATAAGCAGCGCCACGTTGCCACTACACCACTTCCATCCCAAAACACGAACTGGGCAGAATATTTCCCGTTTCATAGGAGCAATAATAATTGCGTTGAATGAAAAGACCTCGCTGGAGAAATGACATACTCAAAGACATCACACAACTGAGACATCATGAGGCCGGAGAGAATTGTGTTTTTTGCATGACCTGAACGGTTACGAAGGTTATCGTATTGCTCATCAAAAAAGAGCAGAAGTTTTAGCTCGGCGTGGATATCAAACAAGGCCAGGTGATCCGCATTCAGACTCAGCTGTCTGTTGGAAAATTCTCGAAGAGTAAGTCATAACTGTGTTATCAGAAGAGGAAGAGGTCGTGTTCAACATGGCTATCATTGTGTTTTTGGGAGAATGAGAACAGATAGCTTTTGGGCTACCACTATGACTCCAATCACAAACGAATAAGGGGAAAAGAATCTGCTGTTGATTAAGTCCTTTGAATTTGGGATGCGCCACGCATTCTGGTGCCATTATAATCTTAACGAGCTTCTAAATGAGATCTGTGTACGCTTGGTTTTACGTACAAGTCAGCATTTTTAAAGGAAAGATTGATTATTTGCATAGCTGGGAGAGAGGCGGGCCTCCAAGAGGGTGCTGACAGACAAGCAATTGGCAGTGAAAGATTTGACCTCGGTGATCTAGCATGGCTCACTCTTGGCTCGTTTTGTCGAGGGGTAACGCCACCAACGCGAATCAAACGGTGCGCAGGGAAGGGCTCTAGTTTCTTTCCTCACCCTTCTCTGACTAAACCACCTATTTCTTATTTCCAGTTTGAGCTAACTTTTCATCGTAAATTCAACCTATCACAACAGTGTCTGTACGGCTAATCGGCGAATTTATTTAAGCATAGGAAGGATTGATCCTGGGGCCATAGCGTAGTAAGCGCGCTCTTACACCCCCCCCCCCGAGTCATCTCGCTCTAATCATACATAGATAGAGTGAAGGGAGAAGGTACCGTACGGAAACCGTTACACGATGTATGAGGGAATGGAATTTTTCCTTGACGGTCGAAAACGTCCGTCTGTTACTTACTGTAGATATTTACTCCAAGCGAGAAAGCAAAAAGAACGAGAAAATATATAACATTGTAAACAAAAGCTAATACATATTAGAAAAATAACAGACCGGACAAAACTAGCGACGGCAATAAAACCACACCAGCAACTCAACGAAAATACGAAATTATTGAGAAGGAAATTTCATCAAAAGCAAGTGACTTCTTCTGAAATTACCTCAAATGCGACAGACAATGAATTGCTATTCACAGATGTGAATTTGTGAATTCTCGAGTCTAATGAGATTGTTTGACTGAACATTCATTGTATTTCAATGACCTAACGCTTCGACTGAATTTTCGTCTTCATAGGGCGGACGGTTTTACCGTATGAGCGGAAAAGTTCGCAGTCACACTAGAGGGCTGGTCAGTTGTCAGGCTGTTTCATGGTTTTAAATGACTTTTGAAATGTCGGGCATTCCATGAAAATGAATCGGATATAACATTCAGTACCACAGTGACTTGAATTGAATTGGTTAGCGCACGTCAAGCGTGCCGTTCTCAAGATAGGGGGGGGGGGCAGGGTTGTATATTTGAATTACAAGGAAGTCGTATTTGGAGGGGACATGGAAGAGAAGGGTCATTCAAGGGTATGTGAGAATTTTTGCTAAAAGTAGACGAAAATGTGTGAAGCGTGTTGTATTTACTGTTTTAAATTACATGTACTCTTCTCCAGCTGACTCCACAGGGTTTTGGAGCAGGAGCTGGATAGGTCAAATAGTAACAGATTCAAGGACACTCGGTGGGCTCCTTTGGGAGAGTAGTGAATCGTCTTCCGAAACGTATTCCGATGTTAGAATTGACTCTGCCGGCCTTTTATGGAAGTATGAGAAAATGCTTTCCAGTGTTCCAATGTCACCACAACTTCATATGAGTATCGTATGCATGGCGCATCCCCAAAAATGGGTTGAATCAATGTCTGTTTCTCTTCATGACTTTCCTAATTTCTAATAATGGAAATAAATGATTCGGTGGTGATATGGCCTTGCTACAGACACGCTGACATGCGTTTCTATCTGTAGAAAAGTGGCCAGCTCGCTTATCGGGCGGGGTGCGTCCATAATCAGCTGTTTTGTAAACTGTACGCAATGGTTTTTAATTTTGTATTGAGGGTTAGATGAACACCTCCCATGCACAGCTTTCAATGGCACGCAAGAGACACTGTTTTTGCTCCGCCGACTACAAAGGTAGAAAATCATGGTAATCATCTCAAATATAAAAATAAAATGTGTTGAGCGAGCCATAAAGAAAATTCTTCTATCTATTAGAGTGATGCAGTAGCAGGAGGCGTTGGCTACCATGCCCACCGTCTTTAGATCAAATTCTGGAATGTGCGCTGTTCACTCGTAAGCCAAGCCTTCCATCTCTTAGTAGTTGGTGAATTGTACAGGATTCAGGGTTGATGAATTGATGCGGGGTTATTTGCGAGGATAAAGTACTGAATTCTACATTGGCTGGTACCCGCAAATCATTGCGTGGGCATCCAAGAAGCCAATGGATTCCGAATAGAAGTAGACATTATGCATCTCAAAGCGGGATTGTTCACCATCGCAGCGCTCATTTTCTTTTTCCACTTTTTCCCAACAGAAAATTAGCACGTTTTCTTACAGCATTTCTGAAAAGAAGATTTCTTGGAGTGCTCGACTAAAGGAGTTCTCGCAAGAAATCGCTTCTAAAGCCTCATAACTATGAGGAAAAAACTGAAAACCCGGGCCTGCAGGAAGGATTTAATCGTGAAATTCTAGAGATAGAACAGATCATCTTATTAGACTTAAGGCGGTTACAATCTTGGCCCCAACGCATATCAAGAATATTTATGTCAAGCCCGCCACAACTTCTTGCCCTCGACAAAAGCTGTAGTTTTTGCTGTATGTGTGATGGTTCGATGGGTTATATTTTAAAGCCTTCAAGGGAGAGATCGTGACGGTTGAAAATCGGGGAAATTAATGCTTGACATAGGGAAAACGGAGACCCGTCGCTTGCAAAGGTTATCACTGACGAGGTTGAACTATGAGGACTCGGTGTCAGATCGATGCTGCGGAAACTTGCTTATGTGTGAGGAGATTGGTGCTTAGCACATTTGCTATCGAGAGGCCTATATAGAAAAGGGTTCGTGAAGATAGGAGGAAATAGAGGGCCTTGTCATTGGTGGAGGTGGTAAGAGGGTCAGCGCTGAAAGAGGGCTTGCTGAGAAGAGAGCAGTATGATTACAACGACATATTAAAGTATCGGAAGGAGGGAAGGGCATGGAGCGGAAAGGATTGGCGAAGGTCCTCCCCTGCGGTATTGGGGAAAGGTGTAGGAGAGGCTGAGAGGTAATGTAAACATCGGAACGTATTGAGGACAGGAAGGGTTAAGATGTATTCAACGGATTTACTGTCAGAGAAACATCAGATTCAAGGAGAAATCGAAGCTACCTTTCACTCCAATGAGGTATTTCGATTCCTTATAGGAATTTCATTTAGAATGGTAAGTAGTAATAGAGATGTGAGGCATTGGAAGTTACATTTGGTGAAGAAAGACAAATTTGAGACTTACTCAACTTCGAGTGAGTTTCTGTACGCAAACGGGCTAGTATTCATTGTGTGGAGACGAGGATCACTTTCGAGAAGTCACTTGGATAGCGACGGCCACTGTGGTAACGTAGCACATGTTCAACGTGATCGTGGGGGATCCGGGACCATCGGAAATGATGGTGGGTTCTCGGCACGTCTCGTACACTAATTCTGGTTCTGCCCCTGGTAGTTCATCTTTACGATAATTTTGCGCCAGCGGGTCCGTGGGGCCACAGCCCTTCGAACGTTTTTTCGAACTTTATCTCTTGAATGGTTCATGGCCTATGGGCCCTACCTTTGTGGGGCTAAACTTTATTCATCGTTTTATAGGTTTACTTAATATTCAATGGGGCAGGTTTATTTCATAAAAACGTTGTTTCTTCTGTGTATTGACTTAAATGCAGGGTAAAACCCGTGAATCTCTGATTATGCACCAACTTGTTATTTTTGGTAGGTAGGAAAGAAAGATTTGAATTGGATAGGATGTCGGAAGTAGAACATGCTTAGTTAAAGCCACGAGTTAGAAATTAGGTGACCATAGAAGGCCTTTCCCATCATAATATTTCCAGTAATGCTCCGGAGTTCCAGGAATGCGCTCAGAGGGGTGATGCACACTCCTGACTCGAGATTGCGCGCCGTCAAGGCCTCTGGCCTACTACTTACAGCGATGGGTTCGTTTCATCAGCTGGTCCCGCCCACCGCGGGATGTGGTGCGTGGCTGGCCTAACGTGTGAGATCAGCTAGGTTGATTGCCGTATCAACCGATGGAACGGCTGGCATATCCGGAAAACTCGTTTGGACGTGGCTCTCCCCCGAGCAAGCCTCCTTCACTGCTAGAAGGAAGGGGTTTCGATTTCGGTCTTGTCGACGGTTTCTTTGCGTTTTTTCTTCACTGTCGTTCCACCTCCCATCTCTACACTCAATTTCAGGCGCCATAATGCCAAACTCGAAATGCTTTTGCCGCAAAGCCCCCCCCCCCCCCCCCCCCCCCCCCCCCCCCCCCCCCCCCCCCCCCCCCCCCCCCCCCCCCCCCCCCCCCCCCCCCCCCCCCCCCCCCCCCCCCCCCCCCCCCCCCCCCCCCCCCCCCCCCCCCCCCCCCCCCCCCCCCCCCCCCCCCCCCCCCCCCCCCCCCCCAGGCAGGGTTTCAACTACTTGGTCATTAGGCGGTCAAAACATGCCCCAGCCCAACTAAAGTTTATAGGAAATGTCTTTAATTTCAAAACCTACCTCTAAAATGCGCTGGAAGGGGTCGAAGTCCTCTTGGAGGGGGCGGATCACCCATAAAGAGGCGGATCGCCCAACATTCGCTGTGCAGAGCGCTTGCTCGACTAGCGGTCGTTGCGGGACCGCCGCGCTGTATGAGGTCGATTCCATAAGAACCCAATTGAAGCGCTTCAATTTCGATTGCTGGCAAATAGTTATGTATTTGCAAGCATGCATGGCTATTTGCCAGCAGTCAACTGGAGCGCATGTACTACGGGCAGGTTCGGACAACTCGTCCAACACACATCTCCCTAAACGGCCGGGGGAGTCCCTGTCTAAGCCCCTGCCCGACGTTTTTTTCTACTTTTTCTATCTCCATTGACCAACTTCTCACCTGCAACGTCATTATAGGTGGTCCTTACCCGCGAATTCGTTCCTGGATTGTTGCTTTAAAGGAATCTTCCACGGAAAAAGCTCCGCCCTCATTACCACAGAAAACGATACCTTAAAGGAATCTTCCACGG